ACGATTTCCCAGTTCCTGCTTCGTTCGTCTTCATTTGAGAGGATGAAAATTTGACAAACTGAGAATATTTTTCGGATTTTATGGGGAGCTCTGTTTTTCGATTTTTGGATGTCGCATATATGTCAATTATGGATTATTTGATCGATGAGAGATGATCTATGATGTTTTGACGAGGTAAAGAAGTTGGAAATGAGAGAAAATGAAATTAAATAATTCGGTGAAAGTTTGAAAAGGGAATGGGAATTTGATTACTGAAATTTGAAAAATTTCTGCGTAAATGATCGACACTAACACTAACATCCTGAAAGATGAGAGGTTTTTGAGTTTTTGTTTTTAGAATTAGAGGAAATATATTAATATAAATATACATATAAATTTATAGATATTTATAGATATATTAGTGGAAATAGGTGTTTCTTTACAGAATTTTTTGGAACTCTTATTGAGATAAGAACATAATTGTGTACCATTATTTATTTTTCAATTTATGTATGATTTATTCAAACACACGTTACAGGTAGTAGTTCTAGCATTAATCCTAGAATTTTTAACGAGAAAATCACTATTTTATGGTCCAAAATTAATGAAAAATCGTATCATTATATAAATACAAAAAATGTTGTGGTTAATTGCAAAAGATTTTATTTGGAACATTTTTTTATCTAGTAATTGAATAACGAGATATTTCAGGTGGCTATACCTATTGACTCACCCTGTATAATATTAATTAATTGAAACACAGTACAAGAAATATTACAGTGCAACTTTAAATATGGAATCTTTAATTTTTGAACAATATACTAACTATTATAAACAGAGCAATAGTAAGCAAATAACTTAAATAAAATATAATATTAATATAAATATAATATTTTTTTCATTTATGAACGAAAGTATTAAGAACCAAAAATCACGATATAGATAATAATTAAGTGCACGAGGAATGAATAGGAATTTTAAGCAACCCAGACCTACATCTTAAAACACTGGTGCCATTGTCTCGAATAAATTGCTCACCAAGCCTCTGATCAATAGCGAGTATTGTAGGAGCCCTGTGCACGGAAACCAGTCGACCAAACCATTTTCAATCTCTTTAATTGACTCACAGTTATGGTATATACCGATGATTATGAAAATGGTTCAAATGAAAATTCTGAAAGACATGATTTTACTGAACGAACCGAATAAAATAAAGCTACCAAGAAATTGAATCATTTAATCAAACAATTTCAAAATATTTTAATACCAAAAATATTTCGTTTATTTCTGATCCTAAATTAGGTCGAAGATCATAGTATAGCACGTGAATGAAGTACTCGCTTTGACGAATGCTCTCACATTTTAACAGAAATCGCACAACGACACAAATTTCGCAAGAGGTGCAATCAGAATGGACGAAAAAATGTTGTACACGAATTTTAAAGAGGTCATTGGAAAGCGGATACTTCCCTTGTCATGTTCATTTTAAAAAAATTTCCGATAAAAATTTTTCACCATTCGTAGAGTCGTCTAAATTTCTACAATTTTTGTTAGAGTAAAAACACCTGCAATTTATTATCGTATGTAATGAAATAAAATCAAAATGAGCGAAAAAAATTGTACCCGAATTTTGAAGGAGTCATTGGAAAAAGGATACTTCCCTCGTTATATTCACTATAAAAAAATTTCCAATAAAAATTTTTCACCAATCGTAGAGTCGTCTGAATTTCTACTAATTTTTGAGAGATAAGACACCTGTAATTTATTACTGTGTGTAATAAAATAAAATCAAAATGAGGGAAAAGAATCGTACGCCAATTTTGAAGAAATCATTGGAAAGAGGATACTTCCCTCGTCAAATTCGCTATAAAAAAATTTCCGATAAAAATTTTTCACCAATCGTAGAGTCATCTGAATTTCTACTATTTTTGTTAGAGAAAACACACCTGTAATTTATTACTGTATGTAATAAAATAAAATCAAAATGAGGGAAAAAAATCATACGCCAATTTTGAAGAAATCATTGGAAAGAGGATACATTCCTCGTCAAATTCGCTATAAAACAAATGGCAATAAAAATTTTCTACCAGTCGCAAAGTCCTCTGAATATCTACAATTATATCGATGTAAGATACCTTGAATTTATTACCGTATGTGATAAAATAAAAAGACAAATAAAATATTCAATTCAGGGTCGCCAAAATAGGAGTTTCAATCTTGAAAATGAATCCAAATGAAGTGTCACGCAATTTTCTGTAACAAAGTTACAGCCTCTCAAATATCGCCAATTTTTCAACCAAAAGGCACTCTGTTAATTTCATACTAGACTGTATTTTGAGGTTACACTTACGCAACCTACAATTGCACCATTTTCATACTAAACAGCACACAGTATGCAACACATCGTGATGCAGTAACTTAGTAAAAGAAGGTTCGAATTTCCCATCGATCATTTACGATACTCCTGCATTAAGAACAGAAACTTTAAAACGATGCAGAAACAAGTTTTACATCGCGTCTCGAAGAAGTTTCAGAACTCGCAATGGAACTTTAATAACAAACAAACTTTTTCATTCCGCCACGAAAATATTAAAAGGGAAAATGGGAACGCAAAATCAACGTTTCGTTTCTTTGTCATTGTTTTAGTTCGGATCATTATCGTTCGGATTAAGCGGGCGAACTTCGAAAATAGGTGGAACTTGTTAAAAAGTTTCTTTTGTGGAACGGCGAGGAAAAAAGGTGGAAAGAAGAACACGGAAATAGTAGAAAATGACGAAAAAACTGGGTAAACAAAAGTTCGTAACAAACAGTGAACGAAAACGTGCCGGTTGGCGAATGCTGCAAATATTTAATTAATTTCGCCAGTTTACCCCTTAACGAAGACGCTGTTGTTTAAAAAAATAAGCGAGCGAAACCAGTTTTCGAGTTATCGGGAAATGGAGAAATTCTCCTGCGAATATACGAGCTGTTGTAAAAATTATTTTTGCGTTACGGAAAAATTTGGGAAAATTCGGGTTAAGTAAAAATTGTTGCAATTTTATTTTCCTGTCGTCATTTAGGAAAATGAAATTCGAATATTTCATTTTCAGTAATTGGTTTTAAATCGTTTGTAAAAATTTATCATCGAAACGTAGTAAATAAATTTAATTCATTTTCCGAGTAAATAGTTACGAAATGTTTGAGGGTAAGTTAGGTTTTGTATATGTAAAAAATGTGTACTTCGCAATTATATAAACAAGTTAGGCTCAAGTAAATACGTTATTATTTATATAATTATTCCAATTCCAATTAAATAAATTCTACTGACAGACCAATCTCGATATCAATATATTAAAAGGTTCTATTTTTACATTTCTCGATCTTCGTTAAAATTTCGATTAATTTTTATATCATAATGAACATTGCACATGTACATTTTTTAAATTTCTGTTTAATTTTCCGCCTCCAATTAAATCTCCTGCCTTTAGAACAGGATAGCAACAGACAATGCAATTTAACAGCCAATTACTCCACTTCTTCGTCGCAAGTCGCAATCACCCCAAAACAACCCCTATAAACCAAAACGAATTCTGCCCTGAAACCAATCGCAAAAATCGCTGTAATCATTATTCCTCTATTTTAAATCCAGTCCAAATTCATCCACTCATGTTCTAAACGCTTTGCTGACTGGTCACGAATGTACTCGTGTCCTTGCATTAGAACGCCATGACGTATCAGGCACGAGTATTATCATATCATTATATCATTAAACACACCTGACAATTCCCGATTCGTCACGGGATATACAAACAAGGTTCATTAAAATCTGTTCCCACGATTTTACATTCAAATGCGGAGAATTTTCCCAGCACGAGGACCGATTTTAACTCGAGATGGCCGGTGAGTCGAGAGAGCTCGATGAGCAGTTCTCGAGATCGTAACGAGGCAAAGACCATCGTGCACAGGCGTGTGCTTGCTCGGAAAAGAACGTCCACGATCCGTGCGTGCATGGGGTCTGTGTATCATTGAATTTGCTGGCAGGGTATCGACCCGTGGCCGGTTTGCTGAAGCAGCGAAGGACCTCGTCCGAGGCGAAGGAAACGTTTGGCGGAGATTAAAAGACAGCCGGCCTCGAGCCTTAATTTCCGTCCCGCGAATAATTCAGCCCGGGCTAGAGTCTGCTTCGCCGAGTAGGTGAGACATTATCCGCATCGCGAGACGTTAATAAATCTTGCAATGCCCCGTTGCCCGTTATCAAGTCGCCGCGCTCCATTAAATCGGGACGTTGCAGGCCCGAGCCGTTTTCACGGCCTTCCTCGCGGATCCCTATTTCTCTGTCCTTCTCCTGTCTTATTTCTAACCTTCGTCCATCATTCTCGCGAGATTCGTTCGGATTTCTGTCGATTTTCTTGCGGCTTTCTTCCGTTTTTCTTCCAATCTTCTTCTGCCTTTTTTGCTTCTTCTTCTAACTTTTTTCCCGCTTTCTTCCAAGATTCTTCTATCTTCCTTCCAAGCTTCATCTTGCTTTGCTAATTCTCTCCTGCCTTGCTAACTGCCTTCGTTTTCATCCTAGTCGACCCGGTTACCGATTCGATCCTCGCGATTGGCAGGCTGGCGCAGGGAGCGCGAGGAAAATGTAAATAACCCCTTCGTCTGCCTTTGGAAATGAAATGTAAATGGACCGCGCCCTGTGCAGGGAAAAGGGGTCGAGAGTAATTGTGCCGGGGTGTGTGAGGGTGGTGAAGAGGTAAGATGTCGCTTATCGATCGCGGTTTTGATGAAGGGTACTCGATGATGTCTTAATCGGCTGCTTTGCCATGCTTGGTGCAGGTTTGTGGTACGTGATGGGGTGAGATTGGTGGTTGGAATTGTTCGCGCTGGATGCAGAAGATTCTTCGGAATTTAATACTCTGCTGCTTCTTTCTCATATTTTTGTTTTGGCTTTATTTTGTGGTTGAAATTCTTCTTATTGGGTGGAGGAGATTCTTTCGGATTTAACAGTACATTTTTATTTTATTTTTTCTTTTTCCTTTTTCTTTTAGATCACGAGGATGTCTGTCTGTTGGATTAGTGTGCAGGGAATAGGTTTAAGTACTTTTCACGTGCCTGGGTTATTTTGGTTCTTAATTAATTAATTTGGAAACTAAAATGGGAACGTATATGCTTATTTAGAATTTGTTCTAGACTAAATTTTGATTAACCATAGTCTCTAATCGATAATAAGATTTTATTTCGTAGTATGTTGTTAGAGTTTGGTCAATGTAAGTATATAGTAAATTAGAATCCATAATTGTATATAAATATTGTACGTAAATATTGTATTTCAGACAAATTATTCTCAGCTGAGATGTCTTTGTTTTTAATAATATTTTCATAACTTCGCGAGTAACGAATACATACAATATGTAGATCCACTTTCCTATAACTGTCTCTCCAAACGTGACAAAACTTGCATCAGCGAATGTTTTAACTTTAACGAATAGAATTTTAGATATTTGGTATCAGTGGGATAATTTAAAAAATATTTACAAAATTTTTCTAACCAAAATTGCGAGCAATTCACAGATTAATTAAAAACGAAATTATTTTAGTTTTAATCTTAACTCCTTAAAATAAAAATTCCAATACGAAAGAATTATAATTCAATGTCAATATTAATATTAAATATCTTTTCTATATCTTTTAAAAATCTTAAAACGAAATTATCTCAGAATCAATTTCTAGAAATAAATATACCAATATAAAAATTATTAAAGTTTTGAAGTATACGATATCGATATTAAAATTTTTCAATTTGCTATTACTATTGATTAAGATTTTCATTTAGAAGCAATTAAAAAATACGGAAGCGTTGTTCATTTATTCCATCCTATTGTGACGTTCCCTTTTACATTGTTCAGGCGTGCAAGTAAATCGACCCGGTAATGGCCGGGTTACTGGGTCGTGTTCTTGTTTGTTTATCAGCCGTTTGTTGGCCGCTCGAAATCTCGTGGATTCGAGCACGGCGGAATTTACAGAGAGCCGCTGGCGGCTGTGCTGTTTTCAGCTTAACCTAAATTTTTCGTCGCCGTTGAAAAAGCCCGCTATCGTTGCTATCAATGATATTGTTTCTGAAAACAGAACGAAGAATTAAAAGTTGAGACAACATCCGCTGGAAAAAAGACTGGCCTTAATACTGTTTTTAGAGGATGTTCTTCCATCGGAAATGCAGTAAAAGAATTTGCATTGTTATTTGGAATTCGTCGCAATAGGAAAGGAAATAAATGATTAATAAAATAATTATATTCTTCAATTATTATGTTTTATATGATGTGTGTTATTATGTTTCTTATTATTAAATAAATGATTAATAAAGTAATTGACCTTCGGAATTATTATATTTTATGTTATTTTATTGTTATATTTCGTTACATTTTATATTGTTAAAATACTAGATTAATAATAAAATGTGTCGAAATATGTAAATAACAAACGTGAAATATGAGAATGTAGTATAATAATTAAATGTTTATTTAAATTTCCCATAACAAAACATGTACGTAATATATATTTTATATATTTATATTTATCGTGCGATGTGATGGTAGGATATTTAAATTTACTCCACCACAGATGCAGAACTTCTCCTAGCTTCTGAGCAACTTTACCTCTTAAAATTCCTCCAGTTAGTAATTTAGTTTTGAAACTGGAATTTTTCTTTGACACCGCATTTCACTTTAACATACATAACTTCCTTCAATTTTATTTTTTAAATCAATTCAATCCATTTCGAGCAACTCTCAAATCAGCAAACTTCTCAAAACGAACTATACTTTCCGGAGAACGTAAAATTTATTAAGTAATACATACCTGTCATTGAAAGCAGATGGCCAATCAGATTCAACCGTACTCTATTACCCTCCAAGCTTCGAATTAATATTCTCAAACCAGCAAACTCCTCAAAACAACCTTAATTCTCAAAAAAAGCATCTGAAAATCCCAATTATTAAATGACACGAACATTATATTCATCTGTCAAAGATAAACCAGAATCAATCAGATTCAACCATTTGCTATTATTCTTCAAGCCTTCAACCAACTCTCAAGACATTCTTAAACCAAAACTAGCAAACTCCTAAAAACAACACACTCCAAAAATATAAAATACACAAAAACCAGCCCAAAATCCACATTTCTCAATGCAACGAACACTATATTCATCCGTCAGAGAAAATCCAGCACCAGTCAACCTTGATCATTTTCTACCATTCTCCAATTCTCGAACCAACTCTCAACAACTTCTCAAATTAATCTGACTCTCCAAGGAACATAAAATATATAAAATATATAAAATAATCCACAGAAGCTACCACGAATCCGAAATTTCCAAGTAGCACGATCACCACATTCGCCCGTGACCAAAAAGTGAAAACCGGCTCTCGCGTTTCATCCAGGCGAATGGACCAATCAGCATGACGCGATGTCTAAACGGATTGCGTGCAATTATTGTCCGATAATCGCGGCGCATTATGCCTTATTACAAGAGATCGGTCGCGCGAGCGTATGACCGCGAGCGCAATTTGTTTGCGGCCGGGCCGCGATAACCAACGAGCTTTGATTTATAACGGGTGACCGGTTATACAGTTGTCCGCGAGCAAAGCCGGTGTTCCAGGCCGACATCGGAACGACCCGCGCTTTTTCGCGCACCCCGTCGACCAACGTTGTTTCCGCTGAACGATCGCCAGGCGACGTGCGGTCGCGTCCTAGCGTATCGCTCAACCGTGAACGCATTTATTCGCCGGATGACGTGCACTTTCCTACCATTTCGTCCCATTTCGTCCAATCCCGCATTCCACCGGCTCGTTTTACCTGGCCAACGTTTGTAAAATGTCATACAGGCCTGTGGATGGGGTTGGTCCAACGTTCCGCGAGCAATCGCAGGAATTATTATTCCGGGGTAATAGAGGGTGAAGAGGAGACTGTCTGTGCAAGCTTGATGGGAAATCCTGCGATTTTTGAGTGAATTTCTTTACAATTTTCCGATTTATACTTGGCGTATATGTGGAATACTAAAATGTGGAGGAATTGATCTTCGAAAGCTAATTTGCAATAATAAATTTGGTCTTCGGAGGCCATATATCTTGTATAATTGTATCGCCATCACAACTATTTATTTTTGAATAATGTCTAATTAATTATTTTTTTTTTTTTATTATATTTTCTGGTCCAATTGTATTATATTATACTCTTTTGTTCTATTATATTTGTATTCCTCTTTAATTTGCAACAATAAATTTGGCCTCTGGAGGAATCATATCCTTGACCTTGTTTGATTATAATTTTTTGTCTTATTGTATTCTATTATATTTTTATTCCTTCCATTTGCAATAATAAATTTCATTCTTGAAGGTTATGGATCTTACACCCTTGTGTCACTATCTAACTTTTTAATTTTTAAATGATACATAGTTTATTATTCTTCATTTTTAAATTATATTTTTTGATCCTCGAAAGCTAATTTGCAATAATAAATTTTATCTTTGGAGATCATGGATCTCACACCCTTGTGTCGCTATGTGACTTCTTTATTTTTAAATAATATATGTTTTGTTATTTTTTTTTTTAATTGTATTCTTTGATCCAATAGTATTTTATTATTTTATATCATCCTAGTCTATTAAATTTCTGTTTGAGCTATCAGGATAGGGATGCTTTCCGGGTAAAAATTGGCAAATTGGCCATTTTACTACCACATCATGTGTCCAGTACTTCACGTACAGACTCATACATCGTGTCTTCGTCTAAAAGTATTTTATCACATTATATTCTTCTATTTCATTATGTACATTCTATTCGCAGATAATTTTCTAAGCTGTTATCCCAGACAGTACTTGGAAATGTTTCAATCTTAAAGATCTATTCCATATACACTAGCAAGATTTAATTGATCCAACTGTACACTGTAGAATTGCGAGTCAGATCGAAGTTACAAATTTACTAAGTGAGATTAGTCAGTAAAATATAACATTGGAATACGAATAGACCAATTTTACTTTATAATGTCGCCAAGGAGATTGAAATTATGAATCTACCGAAGGAAATTATACAATGCACTATACTGGGCTTTAGGTGGTCCAACTGCAGTATTTTGAGTCTGATTAAAATTATAAATTTACCGAATGTTATTATTCGATGTAACGCTGTACTTGGAATGGGCTAATCGTACTTTGTAACACCGCGAGTTAGATTGAAATTATAAATTTGTCAAGTGAAATTATTCAGTGGATGGCAAGAGACTTTTGGTGGTTTAATTGTACTTTACACAATTGCAAGTTAGATTGCAATTACAAATTTGTGGATTGCAATTATTGTATGTTCAACAGCGGACTTTAAATTGCCTAACTCTACGTCATTGCAAGTTGGATTGAATTTAAAAATTTGTCTAATGGAAATTATTCAGTATGTGACAGTGTGTGACAGTCCTTTGTGATAATATTACAGTATACCATATTCTAAATGAATATTTCTGGACTGTGATATTTTCATGATTAATATTTTTGTATTCCTCTCGAGTTTAAAATAAATTTATAATCACCGAGTAAAGGGTAAATAAAAACCCTATATAATAATACTTCAATCATTTTGACTGACCATGTCATCCAATTTCCTGGCTGTACGCAGATAAAATTATTTATTTCACAAAATGATGTTCTATGAAGAATTAAACGTCACGGTGGCAACCAGTTACAATTTCTGACAATATAAAATATTTTTAGTTTCATATTTCGCGTAAATTCATTAAGGAAACATTCAGAAATAAAAAAATAAAATGAATAAATAAATTAGAAATTGCATAAATAATTATTCTTTTCCAAATATACGTGCAATTTTTATTTCTATTTTTCTCTTCTTATTTTTTATGTGAGGATAACATTCAAAAATATAAAAATAAAATGAATAAATGAATTGGAAGTTGCATAAATAATTATTCTTCTCCAAATATGCGAACAATTTTTATTTCTATTTTTTTCTTCTTGTTTTATATGAGGATAAAATTGACGGTTGTTAAATCAAAATATGGCAACAAGTTGATGGCATAAAT